AAAAATGTGGTAATTTCCATTGGCGAGACGCTCCCTGCTGCCTCGGGGAACCTTTCAACGCGGTTCGCAGAGTTTCCGCGCAATTGGAGATATCGTGGACGCCGCAATGGCATCCAGTTCTGGAGCACGGAGGGAGGAGAAATGGGAAGACGTTCTGGGCCAACGATTGGCGAAATCTTTATCTAAATGTAAATTCAAAGTATTAGATAAAAAATGTACGTTCATCTATTATTCGCTGAACGAAATAATATTAATAACAAACGCAGGTCAGAATAAGCGTTCGATGAAAATATCGACTAACTGTGTATATTGATATCTAGTGGTTCGAACCACTGAGAATTAATTTCTGGTATTAGCTGAATGGAGCTTGGTAAATGTCTTATACCAAGGCTCTGTGATATCACTAGTAGTATCATCCTACTTCAAAGTATCGTAAAACATGTAAATTACGAAGACATTCTTGGTCTTATCTTTACCTCTATTCAATTACACATCGATTATGACATAACTGCTACACGATCAACAAACATGGCGGTAATATATGAAAACATGAATATTTACACCGTCAACAAGATCGATCCACAAAATAAGCGAATATAAAATTCCCAACGTTAAATCCTGCAGCGAAACGAATCGAAAGTGGATTACATAGAAAAATTGGAAAGCGGTCTCAAAGAAACTGCGATATCCGCCCAGGCGAGAAAGCATAAGCGTAAAGAGTCGAGTCAAAATTCCGCGACAAGGCAATCTAGCGGGCTCTGAACGAAAATGTTGCAGCCCTTCCAACGTCTGCGCGAAAAAAGAAGGAAGTAATCGCTCTGGTAACCGAGTTACGGTTCAAACGGTATCGCGACAGCGATTAATGACGCAAAATTGACACGTCGCTAGATCGTGAAAAGGGTTCATTTTCCAGGGGTCCGGTTAAACACGAAAAGCGGGATGCGGGTTTAGTTATGCAAATTTTAAACGAAGACGTCGTTAATGCACGGCGTGATGATAGAATATGCGTGGTATAATACATATACACATATAAGACAATAATAGGGCCGAGCACCGGGGGGCATGTTCCAAAAGTTTAACCGTTTCGGACCGTCCGGTAACAAGTTCATGAATAACCGAGCGCATCGTGTACCATGGTTACATCGTAACGCGCTAATGACGACCCGCGTTCCTGGAACTAACGTTCCATTCGAATTAATTTTCTCGGTCGCAGCAAGTGGATCCCATTGGTGACTTGCCCCCGCGAGCGATGGCGTCGAATACGGGAGGACTCGTAATGCGAGGAAATCGGAATCCCCTAATTATTAATCCGTGACGCACTGAGAATTCTTTTCTCAAAACTGGTGCAATGAGTTTTGCTTCTGCAGCTGCTCTCTAAATTAGATTCTCTAAATTAGAATTCTAAATCAGAAAATGTAATCACTAAAAAATGCACCAGAGTTATTATTAATATTTAAGTAATTTTGGAAAGAAGTTTGATCAACCCCTAACTCAAACCAAGAAAAATATCATAAGGGACTCCGGGCGTTACCGTCAAATCAGTTGCAACGCCAAGAGGACGGTACCGTGTTTACTCTGTATATAATAATAACAAGCCATGTCTCAATTCCCCACCCACACACGCTACATTTCGTCGTGTCCTTCTCCAAACCAGGACCTCTTACTTTTCCAACCCCAGGACCTTTTTCTTCTCATTTCGTTGCTCATATCATGTCTCGCTATCTTGCCCATCTTCCCTATCTCCCCTCTTGCCTTTGGTTACCTTGTATATACAGTTATATTTTCTACTTTCGCTCTCCTATTTCTGTATATCTTCATCTCTCTGCTCCAGCTTAGCCCCTCACCCCTTGCTCACCCTTTGTTTGTAAAACTTTTCCTCTCCCTCTCTCACCTTTTCTTTCCTTTGTTTTTATTTCTCACTGCACTCTTTTTAGCAAAACACACCCTCTCTCTTTTCTTTATCTTTCCAACGCTGTCGTTGACCTCTTTGCTATCATTCAGCTTTTATCGTGTCACATAAATACGCTAAATTAAACATATAAATCGTACTTGATCTTCTAAAATATTTATATCACAAAAGAAAGTGTCACGTGTCGAGCTTTTATTACCTAGATATCCACATAGTACCCGTTGGATTATCCTCTTTCGAATTAATTGATTCGCAATGATTTAGTTATTTTAAGAACGACGCGAAGAAATAAAACGCGCAACGCACACTTTAATACTTTTCAATTTTAGAGAGATAAAAAGCAACCGCATTAAGAACAAAGAAGAACAATGACGGGAGATAAGAGGGCGATCGCTTCGATTTTAAAACAATTAGCTCGACGGCAGAGGGGGGAACGAGATAGAACGGAAGAGGAAAAATGGAGGCGTGCAACGAGAGCAAAGCTTTGTGCGCAAGAGGATAAGAAGGCATTGCCCATTGAAATGCAGCGTGCTCGCCTGCAATCAGGCTGGTACAGGCCCCTAACTAGCTATGGATTCGACGAGAGGAAAGGATACGAACGTGAATCGAAATGAATCAGCGTGACATCGATATATGCACTTACCTTCCTCTTTCTCAAGAATTAACGCCCATTAATCAACGATAAATTTCTATAAATTCAGGCCAAGAAGCTTACGTTATACTTTATGCCGTAGTACGCAAAGGAAATGATAAACTGAATACAATATTAATTTTTAATACTCCCTAATAATTTTATTCAGAAAGATATCTGCGAATAAAAAGCACCTCGTGAAAGGAATAAAAATTTATTTTCAAATTGAAGATATAAGGGATACATTACGAGTTACGTGCTAGATCAAATGAGTTTCGTACCAGTGATATCGATTCTAGTATTTCACATGAGACGAACTATTTGATTCCTAGGACTCATTGAATACACGCGAACAAGCAAACGGTGAGCAGTTGCGACTGTTCCTAGCTGATCTCGGGAACAGTTCAAATGCCGAGCACGTGCCTTTGTTACGAGATAATACCACTTCCGAATTTATACCTAAACTCCGCTTTAGAGACTGGAGATTCGAGTTCCTAATTAACGGCCCGGGCAAGACAAAGCACCGACGAAATAAACAACGGTCAACGTTTAAGTTTAAAGAACGTCGCGAAATAAATCTAACGAAGTCTCAAATACAATGGGGGGGAAGAAGATAATCTGGCAGACATCAATCTTCCCAGATGCTGGCGGGATTTTACTCCGAATCTAATCTGATCTTGAGATGGTAATAGAAAACATGAATATAATATTTCATTGAGACCTGAGACTCTTGTAGTCTTAAAACGTGGTTCTACGGAAAGAAATTTTGTCGAGTCTTTATTTGGTTACAAACCTTCTTTATAGATTGGAAAATAAAAATCCCGGAAAGGAAAAATCCTTGGCTCTCGCCTTATTTTGGTTAATGGATTACCCCCTCTCCAAAAAAAGGATAACTACCTAAACACCCTGCAAATGCCACTATTGGACAAATACTATTTTATTGTCCCTCCCTTAAACCTTACCATAAATAAAATGACCCTAACATCAACATTTCACTTTGCAACGTCTGTCAACGTACTATTACATTACCAGATGAAACAACAATCCTACGAGTGCCTTGTGTACTCTTTTCGCGTGATTCAGAGAGCCCTACCCCTATGGAATCTTCAGCTCCAGAGGAAGAATCGCAGAGAGAAGACGCGACGACGTCAGAGACATCAGGGATGAGTTCATCTATCCGAGTGAGTGACAAAGGCTCAAAGGACGGAATATTGAGATAGCCCATGGTAATTCGAATGCTGTTTGAAATAAAAGGTCACCGGGAACCGGGACAGAGCGGATCCCCGCGGTATATATGACGTATGGTGGTTAATGGAAGCTAGCAGGACGGCCTGGAAAAAGGAGGGAACGGGAAAGAGAGTCGAAACGAGAGTGGTTGGCCAGGAGGGACGGTGAAGGGACAGAAGAGAAGACTCGATTACACGTCACTGGCAGCCCGGAGCCTATTTGGTCGCAATCGGTTTTTCATTACCGAAAGCTTCATCGGCTTTATACCGAATTGTACATTCGGCGGACCCTCGTGAAACTCATCAAGATCGTACGTCCTTTCGGAACAGCGTTCCGCGACTTTCTGGTTACCGTTTACTAGTCTAGCAGCTATATGGCCATTGTTTGCTGTAACAGAACTCGAATTTGCATACATGAAATATGAGACCTTGCTTGAAATGCGAAAATTCTGGCAGAGCAACGGGACCTCACTTCGGGGGAAAGCCAATGGAACACAAGGGAATTAAATTCTTTATTAGGGAATGACTTTGGGACAATACTTTGACGCATGACTGATAAGAGATGGTGATGTGGACGAGTATTTTTTTAGAGTTGAAATGATGAGATTGGGGGATGAATTATGACTGGACATTCGAATGTTGTCATATAGGGGAAGTGTAGGGGAAGAAAAATTGTATTTATTCTCAGGGTTCAAATAGTTTTATTTAATTATGTAATATAATAATACAATATGCAAATATATATTAAAGATATATTCAATATCTTTAATGTACAATTAGGGATGTACTATTTTTAAATCTTACCCCACTCCAATGTCATGGAATTTGGAGATCCACGTTTAAAACAATAAATAGTACCATTTAAAAATACCAAAACCATGTCAAGAAATTCTAAACTACACAACATAGAAAAAGGAACAGGCTAACTTTTAAAACGAACAAATTCCTTCTTCTACAAACAAACAAAATACCATTTCCACCAACCATTATTAGTAAACTCACGTACCCATGTACCTCTGTAAGAAATATTTACCCAAACAAAGCCTACACAGTCATGTCTTCATTAATTTTTTCGATCTTTTACTACAATTGGAAACAACGCCGAATACATAGTATGAATGAGCGCAGAAACAGTACAAATGGTGCCATCTTTGTCTACTACGTCGAATCCTCGTGAATGAATCACCACGTGCTACGCAAACAGATGGCGGGGCCGCTACGAAAATGAGTATAACTTCAGTGCGTACGTACACATGAATAATCAGCTGATTGGCTATTTTTACGAGCTTCGGACGATACGAAAATAAATTGCTTGCGACTTGGACTGTCGTCCTATCGGAACAATATGAATCGTTGATATTTGGACGAAAATAGAGTTATCAAATTCGCTGTGGAGAAAAGGGTCGATCGTGCATTATATCTATGGATACGTTTCCGAGAAACTGCGATTCAGTAATTACAGTAAAGCTGACGTGAATGGAAAACAGTAAACACCCTTTGTGAGGAACAACAAATATTGGAAGATGTCGTCGTCCCCGGAAAGCATTGCTTTGAAGCAGCCTATTAGGCGACTGGAGATCCAAATTAATAATTTCAATGTCGCTATACCACACCACGTTGATTTGTTAAAGAGGCACAAAAGTAATATTCAGAAAGTGAGTATTATTTGAACATATTCCTTAGTTTGATAACAAGTGTTCGTTTGTGAATCCTTTCTTTGTCTTTACAGTATCAAGCACAACATGAATGGGATAAAATGCACAAGGAAAATGTAAATGTATCGCGAATAGTAAAGCAACTCAAGGAGTTGTTGTATCAAATGGATACTCTTCGGGCCCAAGTTCTTGATTCTGATATTAATCAATTTGATAAACTGACTGCTAATGCTCGTGCAAGTATTATGGATGCAATTAAAGATTACTTAGGTGAGGGATAATGTTAATTCTAATTTGTGTTAGCCGTGCAATCAGTAATAATAATAAAATTATGCATGCATGTTTGCAGAGCTTGAATTATATTTACCCATATCACGGCCACAGTCACCCGAAGATGAAGATCAGCCCAAAAGTCACCCACTTGACAATCGATATATGCAGGTGCAAGAAGAACAGCAAGAGTTGCAGCGTCAGCAGGCATGTCTGCATGCCTGGAACAATCTACAGGAAGACATACATCAGCTGCAGGAACTCTTTATTGAGTTCAATAAAATTGTAGATGTATGTTATTTAATCTATATGAGGGTTATTCCAAAAATAATTTCCAATTGGCTGCTAATAAAAGTAAACAATTTATATCATGTAACTAGGATCAAAAGGAATTGGTAAATATAGCAGAAGATAATATTGAACTGACAAGCATAAATGTCACAAAAGGTGAACAGTTCCTTTCAAAAGCTGCAAGGTACAAAGTTGCTGCATACCCCTTAGCAGGAGCTTTAATTGGTACTTGTGTTGGTGGACCTATTGGTCTAATAGCGGGACTAAAAGTTGGTGGACTTACGGCAATAGGTTGTGGTATTTTAGGTAAGTTCTATCATTTTTATGGACTACTATATTTCATGTTTAGAATAGTTATAATATTCCTAATATATGCAGGATTTACTGGAGCATCATTTCTTAAGAAAAAGGAAATAGAATTACAAAATTCAAGAAACCCCACACAGCATAGATTGACAGAACAAAAATCTATACAAAAATCAACATCCTTGCCTGAAAGCTCGACTGAAAGCAAGAAAGAATTGTGACCCATGCAGAAATGCAATATTGGCATAAAAAAGAAGAATGCTTGTAGTTTTATATAATTCTAAAGGAATGACAAATTAATGTATATCTTCTACATTAACGAATATCTATCCAATTTTGTAAATAAAACTGGAGGACATTAAGCATTATCAGTGATATTACAATTAAACATTTGAAGGAAAATGGCTTGTGATATGTTATAAAAAACTGTGTGTTAAACGACTTAAATCATATATGTATACTAGAAACTAGGATGTGCTAAACATTTGTGTGAAAAATTGCAAAATGTTCTGCAAGGATCAGTTCTCATTTTTTATATCAAAATGTTACTTATAGCAAAGTGAGATATATTAAATCTTATTATAGATCTTAAGCGATCAGTTTTGACGTGTAATGAAGCACGACGGTTACAATAACCTAACCAAATGTGATAGTTTAAGAGAGGTTATCGCGAATGTTACGTCGAATATTTACATAACAAAAATTATGTATTTCTATCGATAATTGACACTTACCCCAATGTGAAAACGTTTTATATTTCCCTTCTCTGGAGGATTAATGTAGTGGAACGCGGTGTCACTCAATGAAAACAAATTTTGTACGCTTCTTACTCGTTTACACAGAACGTTACGTGTCAGTTGTACACAAAAGCTGAGAGCCTACAATTGCTTGTATATAACGTTTGCAAATAAACTGTTTGACATTATGAATGAATAGTAAAAAATAAATTACTAATAAACACTGCACTTCGTATCACACGTGTAACGGCAATCCACGATTGACTTTGAACATATCGATCGTTCGATATACGAGCGCGAACTTCGATCGATTTTTCGATACATTGCAAGTATTACATTGCGAAAACTAATATGGTTGAAATTCAGCTGTGAGTGGTTATGAATTTGTGACTAATTGCGACATAAACCAAGGATTAACAAACTTTGAAGAGAATATTAACAACTTTTGCTTATGCAGGTAATTATCTATATTCTATACACTTATTCGTAAGATAGATCGTGAAGCTATCAGGTACAGTTTCAAACTACAAAGCAAAACAGTATTTCATAGATGGTATAGTTTGTCGACTTCTATTTAAAACTATATAAATAGATCCCTATTTCCACTTTGTTTGCAAATTGTGTTTCGAGGGGGGATGTGGGATGACGTGAGAGAAATCAAAGGTTTAAATTCGCTACAAAAGGCACCCAATACAGTATATTTAGCAAGTAATAAAATACATCGGTGTTAGACACAGTACAATACTGAAATAATCATGTTATCAGTGTAAATATATATGTATATATACATTCCGTTATAATGATGCGGATACTTAAGTCTACGGACTAAAATGATCTACTTAAAAAAATATTAATAAATATCTACGAGCGTGTAACATTAAGGGGGCTATCGGTGTATCTTAAGGTACCGGTGTTAACGTTATTATCGTCATTAACTCGACATCCCTGATTCGAAGAGCAACACCAAACACGGATTCGATCGGAAAATAGATATATCGTTCACTTTCTTGTTCGTTTAGTCTCGCTTTCGTAGGTCCCAGCCGGATGCACCGATTTTATATGGCATGTGCTGTTTACGTTTCACTTTTTTACGCAATTTCCGTCGAATCTCTAACGACGTTACATGTAATTTCGAAACGATCACACCAAGAAGTGATACAACTAAATCACGACCTGCGAATGGAAAGAAAGATCGGTAATACACGAGGTGGGGCGGGGGGGGGGGGGGGTGCATCGGACTGTGCCGAGAAAACATTTTCTTTGTAACGATCTACGGGCTACGGCTACGTTTCTAAATACCTTAAAATTCTCTTCTTGTACCCCAGAATACGAAACAAAATGTTTTGGTCACTGTCCATATAAGGTATCACTGATATACCTTGGCAGACCTTGGCAATAACAATGGCTAATCAACTGACTCGCTCGGAACCAGTGTAACAATACAGAATTATTACGACGTGATAATTGCTGATTGCTACGCGTATCCGTTTTGTTACTTCGGTCGCTAAGCTCACCGAGTGTGACTATGATTGAAACCACTGCAGGCGATAGTGAATTCACGATGGAAACCGCAACGAGATTTGCCATAAGGACGCGGCGTATTCATCAGCGAATCACGATCGAACCTGCACGATGGAATCGCTAAAGCTCCTCGAGGAGAAAGAAATTGGGCGCGAAACGTTTCGTGTGGAGCGTCTTAAGTCAAGCTTACCAACGCGCTTACTCTAAGCTTTCCCAAAACGTCCACACCGGTGTTAGAAAGAAAGAAAGAACGTAATCCCTTAAACGTTGATTGAAAATTGATAGAAGAGAATAAAAATAAAAAACAAACAAACGAAGACTGAGAGGGTGTAGAAATTTGGCTTTCGTGTACAGGCCAGAGTTGTTAGGTTTACGTCTACGGGTGATAAAAGGTTTTGCACAAATGACTGACATAAAAAGAATATAATATTATATGTATATATATTTAATATATAATCTGGAAATAATATTTAGACTATCGGTTATATTACTTGTGGCTACATCGTATAAACCTTTAATATTACATTATATTACAAAGTGGTATCTTGTATTTGTGCGCATTCAATTTTTTTCATTTTTTATTTTTTTTTTTTTTGACATTCCTGAAGAGGGACGCGTTGCAAGGACCAAAATAGGGGGACAGACGACGAATGGAATACCCGAAGAGAAGAGAAAACGGGAAAATCGGTTGGTCTTCAGGTGTTTCATTATAAGCGAAACCGCTCCGAGTTTATCGTCCATACCATGCGCGAACACAACGTGGAGATGGAATATATCGATTCGTTTATTAACTACACATATAAATAAAGTATAAAAGTACCGTTAGACGAGTCATCGGGAATTGAAGAATATTCTCAGTCGCTGGTATCAGGAATGCCAATGTTAATGGGTGAAAAATGGCAACCGGTGCATGCCGTTCGCGATACTGCAGCGCGTGGTTAGGCATGCAGCCGTAACACATCTATACGTATATACACATATATTCTGCATATATATGCATATATCCCGTCGGAACGTATCTCTCTATCTACGATTCTCTTGAGCACGATGGTGGATTCGGAGGAGACAGTATAAGAAAATACACGTTGCCGTTACTTCTGAAAATCAATGGTTTATAAAAATCCAGACACGTGACAACTATGCGATCGCGTAGATCAGTGAAACACGAAGCGTATCAAAAGATAAATTCACTTGAAAGTTGAGCATACCCGAGAACTTCTGGTTCTAGCTTGCGTACGTGTATGTTTGTCTATGTGTGTGTGTGCGTGTGTGTGTGTGTACCTCTCTCCAAACGGTGATCGTTCATGTTAATTTGTATGCAACGGGCGATAAGCGTGATGCAGCGGTCTTATGAACTGTGTACGGGTGTCGTTTATACTTTCGTCTCGTGGCATGGTCGTTGCCACGATTGCTCAAGAAAATACGCACTCTTGAAACGCACTTTAAACCGGTACCACGCGCGAGTAGCGCTGCATTCGCTGTGGGACAACTTGCAAGTGAATCGACAACATATATATGTATGTATACTCTGCTCTATATCAGTTTCCAGCCGGTTCAGGGGTTGGCGTTTATAAATTAATGGACATGTCTTGGTCGTAGGGTGCAAGATTGGTGTCGGACGAAGAAGCCGAGGTAACTGTTGCCGCGATCGCGCTGGTCGGTGATTGGAGTGGCGTAGACGTTGTCGGCAGGTGAGACGTGGGACTCTCCAGCGTCGAGTTCCAGTGACTTCTCTCGGTGCCGTCGCCTCCGTCGTCGGAGACGATCGAGATGTCAGCTATTATACCGCTTTCTGCAATGGAATTCGCGCAAAGTGGCGATATATGTTAAGTGGATCGATCACCTCGTTATCCTTGGTAGAAATATTGATGAGATTAATAGCAACGGTAGGTGTGGCTTTGAGTGAGCGTCGGTCGACTCAGGTTCGAGCACTCTTCAGAAAATTTCAATATTTATTGGGTTACAGGTAGAAGAATATGACGATCTGCTGGTGATCTCATCAATATTTATATCGAGATGGTAATATCTAGGAGAGCTTTCTAGAGCAGATAGGCATTTCCATGTTGGAAGCATGAACGTACCGACGCTGCACTGACTATTAAGAGTAGTGCTACGGTGATGTGGCCTAGGACTCGTATCCAAACCAAGGTTCAACGTCGTGGGAGGACCGCTGCTGCCACCGCTACTCGAGGACGAGCTCACGGAGATCACGCTGTGCGGCCTCCTGCTACAACGTCCCGAGTCCTCTGACGTCGACACCGCTATCGAGTTTCTAAATCTAGGTGCTGTTGGATCGGAGAAAGCTCGATCAATATTTAGGCTACACGGATTTTTTATTTATTTTATGCGACATCTGTGTTACACGACGCCCGCCGCGTTAGATGTCAAGATAAACTTTCGTGGAAGAAAATAAAGTATTTGAAGAGGTGAGGTGGAACTTGGAAGTGTGATGTACTAGAACGGGTAGATATAGAGGAGATCGAGTTGGTGCGAGTAGGATGATACGAGGATTAGTTTGTAAAATGTGGGAAGTGTTTCGTAAACAAGACAAGGATCGTGTATAACACTGGTGTTTATTAACCGACAAGAAATTAAGATTGAGAAGGATTCCAGCTAATATAAAGTACGCAAAAGACTAATCTGAAATCCTAGAAGAAGTTGATGGATCAGAACACACTGTTTGGCCAGCGACAGACTTCTTACGAGATTCGAGTGCAGAGCAAGTAGAAAAAGTAGACTATCGAGAAACCCGTTCGTTTTCGGGGCGAGCGGCGTACTTACTCTTCGACAGTTGAGCTACGCTGATAGAACGGTCATTGATCTGATCCGCGCTAGGCCTAATGTCCAAACAAGGTTTGTTTCCGATGCCCATGCTAGACATCTCTGCCAGGCGCACTTCTGTACCGTTACAAAAGGCATTCTCGTTAAGTCCCGCCACAAAGGCCTCCCAGAGGACGCTACACGTCAAAACGCACAGTCGGCTTACCTCTGTTTCGCAGCGCCTGCTTCCATAAAAGGTTGCTCAGTTCCTCCGTCCAGGCTTTCTTGATGTCCTCGCTGGCGCACTGCAACGTGTACGTGTCACCCGGTTTCCTCTTGCGGAACCAAATCTCGAACTTCGTGGGCGAGTCCGCGATCACGGCGGTCAGCCCTATGTCCGTCGTTTTGATGCTGTGCTTGTAGATGTAGATGTCAAGGTTCTGAAACGAGGTAAACGCGTCGGTTACTTAGAGAAACACGGAAGAACAAACGCAAAGGCCTGAACACGGGAATTGTCTTACCTTTCTATCGGGGAATCTTCTCGCCTTGCTGAAGAGGATGAGGTCCTCGAACAGGAAGACCTGTCGCAGACACTTCTTCCCTTTACCCTGCCAGACCAAGAACTCGTTCTGACGTAGCAGTCTCCCCTGCTCCTTCACGTTCACCTGCAATTTACATCACCGTTACAATCTGTAACGACGCGAGATTATGGCAACAAACGCATTACATACACTCTCCATCGCCATTGATGACGCGACTGTTTCTTCTACTACATCATTATTTGTTAGTTAGTACATTATCGACCCCGTGGCTTACGCGCGGGGGTCTTAGCGTTCTATTTTTCTCGGTTCAAAGTAAAATTGTAGAACACGTACGTCGCAATCTCGAAGAGAGTCCATCGCCAGGAGATCGTTTCCGTGGCGCAGTTGGAACCTGACCATCTGCTCGGCCGCCCTCAAATCCGCCTCCCCTTCGACCATCGGCTTCATACCGTCCTCCTTCTCCTCCTTCTCATCTTTGCCGGACATTTGCTCGGAGAGGTCGGTGCCGGCTTTGACCAGCTGCTGCAAGAGCAACGCGTACTTCCCCATTCGTTGGACCGGCTTCAAGAGGTAGCTGGCGAGGTCCATCTTGTCGCCTAGCTCGAGCTGCTTCTGCTTGAAGAAGCCGGTGCCG